ATCAGCCGACCACAACCGCTGATCCTGAAACTTTGAAACTTGCTATGCTAAATGTCAGATCTATTTGTAACAAGTCTTTTTTAATCAATAATTTTATTTGTTCTTATAATCTAGATCTTATGTTCATGGCTGAAACATGGCTTGACCAAAATACAGAAAATGCAGTTTTAATAGAAGCATCACCACCAAATTTCAAATTTGAATCTGAAATACGGGAAAACAAAAAAGGAGGAGGCTTAGCTGCCATTTTCAGAGACCACTTTGTCTCCCATAGAATGTCTCTTGGGAAGTTTCCGTCTTTTGAATATGTGTCTTTTAAAATACAACAAAAACAATCTCCTCCAATACTTTTCGTTGTCCTATACAAGCCACCGCAGTCATGTCACAGTTTTATTGATAATTTTACAGAGTTGCTTTCAGTTGTATGCACAGATTTTGATAGTTTAGTTATTACAGGTGATTTTAATATTCATGTGGATAATGTTGATGACAGAAATGCTAAAGAGCTGAGTTCTCTTCTTGAATCTTTTGGTCTCACTCAGCATGTGAGTGGCCCCACCCACAGCAAAGGGCACACTCTAGACCTGTTAGTTACAAAGGGGGCGAACATTTATAATGTAAACGTGGTCGATGTTGCGCTTTCGGATCATTTTTGTATATTTTTTGACATGTGTTTCACTAACAAACCACCAGTGGACTCTGCAACTGTACGAAGAAGACACATAAATGAAAATACGGGTGAACTATTTATGGGAATGATAAACTTTGAGAATGCATCGTATTCTACTGTAGATGAACTGTTTAACTCTGTCACCTCTAGTGTTTTGAAAGTTCTGGACACCATCGCTCCTGTGAAGGTTAAAATAGTGAAAAATAAGCAGAAGGCGCCGTGGGCTAAAGCAGACTCGGTCAGAGCACAAAAGAGAGAGTGCCGGAGGGCCGAGCGGAAGTGGCGCAAGTCCAACCTCCAGGTTGATTACAAGATCTTCAAAGATAAGTTGTGCGAGTTTAACCAGGTGCTACGTAGTACAAGAGAAAGGTATTTTTCTGAAATGATTGAAGGCTGCAGCAACAATCTGCGTGTTCTGTTTTCAACAGTTAATAGATTAACAAACCCCCCTGTTCAAATGCCATTAGAGCTAACTTCCAAACGTAAATGTAATGAGTTTGCACATTTTTTCAATGACAAGGTTCAAGGCATCAAAAACGCCATTGTCTCCAATCCACAGATAACAATCCAACAGCCAGAAAGGCTCTTTGAGCTAACTTACTTTGCACCTGTAAATGATCAAACTGTCCAAGAGATAATCTCCAGTTTGAGCTCCTCCACATGCAGCCTGGATGTACTACCCACTAGATTTCTAAAGTCTGTTCTGAGCAGTCTGTTACCTTCACTCACACAGATAGTAAACATGTCCCTTGATTCTGGAATATTCCCAAAGGCCCTGAAAACTGCAGTCATCAGGCCCCTGCTAAAAAAGAGCAGTCTGGATGCTACGGTACTTAACAACTATCGTCCCATCTCAAATCTGCCATTTATGGGGAAAGTCCTTGAGAAAGTTGTCTACCTACAGCTTACTAGATTTCTTATAATCAACAACTCATTTGATATGTTTCAGTCCGGCTTTAGACCCCACCACAGCACTGAGACTGCTCTCGTTAAGGTTACAAACGATATCCGGCTGAACACTGACGCAGGCAAAGTCTCAATCCTAATCCTGTTAGATCTAAGTGCTGCCTTTGATACTGTCGACCATGAGATCCTCTTACAGAGACTAGAGGACTGGGTTGGCGTCGCTGGCACCGCCCTAAGTTGGTTTAGGTCTTACCTTGAAGACAGGAAGTACTTTGTGGAGATTGGAAACTGTGTCTCAGATCATATGGCCCTGACCTGTGGAGTACCACAGGGGTCGATCCTGGGACCTCTTCTGTTCAATCTCTACATGCTGCCGTTAGGTCAGTTAATACGCAGAAACAAAGTTTCCTATCATAACTATGCAGACGACACTCAGATCTATGTCTCACTGACTGCAGGAGAACATGGACCAGTGGACTCACTCCTTCACTGTATCCAACAGATCAGTGAGTGGATGCAAAACAACTTCCTTCAGCTAAACGCAGACAAAACTGAAATGATTGTCTTTGGTCCCCAGAGACAAAGAGAGAGCGTCATCTGTCACCTACAGTCTCTCTCCCTAAAACCTTCAAACAAGGTCAGAAATCTAGGGGTAATACTGGACTCAGACTTAAATTTTAATAGCCACATCAAATCAGTAACATCAGCAGCTTTTTACCATCTAAAAAACATTGCCAGGATCAAAAACATAGTGTCTAAAGCAGACTTGGAGATTCTTATCCATGCATTTGTCTCCAGTAGGTTAGACTACTGCAATGGCCTGCTCACAGGTCTGTCCAAACAGGCTGTAAAACAGCTGCAGTACATTCAAAATGCAGCAGCTCGAGTCCTGACTAGAACCAGGAAGTACGACCATATTAGTCCGGTCCTCAGGTCTCTGCACTGGCTTCCTGTGGCTCAGAGAATAGACTTTAAAACAGCTCTGCTTGTGTACAAATCTCTCCATGGCCTCGCACCAAAATATATTAGTGACATGTTAGTCCCATATGAACCAGCCCGGACTCTGAGGAGCACAGGGACTGGACTCCTGTTAGTGCCCAGAGTCAGAACTAAACATGGGGAGGCTGCTTTTCAGATTCATGCTGCTAAAATCTGGAACAATCTTCCTGAAGATGTGAGACAGGCCTCCTCTCTGACAATGTTTAAAACCAGGTTAAAAACGGTGCTGTTTAGCTGTGCATACAACTGAGGGATTTTATATTTTTATCTTTCGTTTTAATGTTCTGTAATTATTTATGATTTTAATGCTATCTTGTTCAGCACTTTGAGTTGCCTTGTGTATGAATTGTGCTATACAAATAAACTTGCCTTGCCTTGCCTTGCCTTGCCTTACCTCTTTCTCATCTACTAATTAACATATGGACAGGCCATGTCTTGAGTGGATCAAGCATTTCTTTGTTTGATCACATCGCTACAAAATAATATAAAAAAGTAAAAACATCTCTAGTGTTTCAGCACTATCAACTGTCACAATTGTTCCTGGCCATTCAGTAAGCGTGTGCGCAGCGTTCTCTGAGCCTAAAGTCAAACAGCAGCCCTGACATAAGCTCTCCATCTTAAACCATTGGTAATAATCCCTCCAATTTAGATTTGACTAAGCATATCATAAAGACATTTCCTCTTGACTTTACCCTCCTCCGTCCCATAATGGAGGATCTTTAAACTCTAACTAGTTTGCAGGATCCAGAACAAACAGGAAAACTCCCTGTCCCCATCTTTTCTCTTTACATTGTCTGCGCATGAGAGACCCCAGTCATCCTCGCTATATTCACCACCGCAGATTCTTTCATCCTCTCACAGAGCATTCTCAGCTCCAGGTCCATGGCCCTGTGTCAATGTTAATGTAAAGCTGCTCCAAAAGACTGGCCCAGGTCAATCATTTATATCATTTAATCCTTTCATTTATATTTTGTGAATAAACATGTTTATTGGTCCCTAAGAAATTGCACCCATTGTACATATTTCTGTTATTTTTTACAAGTTCGGTTGGAATATCAAGAAGAGTAGAGTAAAAAGACATGTTATTTACTCCTATGATAAATAACATTTAGTCAAGTAATCAGTCAATGGCATCATAGAAAAAAATTATTTCGCTATTTACATAGTAGTTAGACATATACAATAAGAAATAGCATAAAAGAGTTGAATATTGGCCAGAGAACCTTTTGATTTGCAAGTTTTGTCTGTGTTTGTTTATTTTTAAATATTGCTCCTTTGCAGAAATAAGCTAGCAATCAGATATAACCATTATATTTTTATTCAATTAATTGATCGATCAGATATTTCTTTTGCCCCTCTTTGTGGTCAGATTTTTAGGAATATCTTTGCCCCCCTTTGAAATAACAAGTTTCAAAAAAATGTCATAGTTATAATTTTTAACATTTTTAATCTGACATTTGATAAATGTCAAACAAACTACACGGATGAAATCTCATTTACCTTTTGCCCAGCCATTGAATTAGCGTTTGTACTCAACAATACTATTGCACATGTCGAATATGAACCGCTCTGACGCAGGCCTGACCCTCTCTGAAGCCATGACACTGCAGCCTCCATGGTCCATCCTCCCCCAGACCACTGGCCCCGAAGCAGCACGGACAAGACTCAATACTTGTCTTTATTTGACTTTAACAATCGCCCCTCAGTGACTCCAAATCTGGATTCCCTTCAGTCTGACTCACACTGGACTGTCTTCACTTTGAAATAGGCTTGGTTACAGACAGTACAACACACTTAACTCTTAATAGAATGAAAATGACCTTCATATAGACAATTTATTCCATTTTCTTCTTGTTTATTTTGTCTTTTGCAGTGCTATACATGAGCCATGATTTATTGCATTACTCTGAACACATGATAAAGTTACACTGTCGTAAGTGGGATGGTTCTCTCTGAAACATTATTATAGCTTTTGCCTGGAATGTTAAACAAAATAAATACCACCTGCTGGTCAGAACCTTAGTCAGTCTTAACCCATTACTTGCTGGGCTCAGTTACACATGTTGCAAATGAATAGAGTAGTCTCCAAGAGCACCATAATGTGTCCATAATGTGTCCAACTTATAATGCAACACTGAAATTTCTCCACTGTGGGATAAATAAAGTATCTTTTAATCTTAATCTTAATTATCCCTGTCAATTCACAATGAAAATCAAAGGCTTTTTATTTTTTGTGGCCTTGAATGAATGCGTCTTGTTCCAACCGCTCAAACTCTCAGGTAATCAGGGTAAAAGTAAATCAGGTTTTTTTCCTCAAAGCTTTGTGCAAGAAAATGGGATCATGGAAAAGGAACAAATAGTAGTCGTAAATAATAGACTTTTTGACGTCAATAACGCTCTATCACTATTTAACAAAGTCATGACATCATCCGATAGCAGTCAGAGGTGCGCTGAAAATAGAAGTGGAGATGACGTGGGCCGAGAGGAGCCAGCGGGCCGTGGCACCACTGATGAGCAGGCGGCCAGGCGTGTACTGATGTGCTGCGTGTTCGCTAAACAAACACCTGATGTTACGAGCACATGCCATGGGGGATTCTGACTGACAAAATGAGCAGTTACAACGGAGCCTTAAGCGTCCTCACAGAGAATATGTTTTAATGTCATTTCATATCAGTCCAAGTCCAATAGTTGCATGATTCTTTTGCTAAGTCCCACAGGAGAAGACTCCATCCTTGCCGCTTCAGAAATGGGATCCCTCAGAGTGCGACCTCCACAACCTACGGTAGTTCTTCCAATGAAATCCATTTATTCTGCTGATCAATTTCCTAAATGACTCCTAATTGGCGTGTGAGCTTTTATGAATCCATGTGAACAAGACTAAAGGAAGATGTATGAAAACATTTGCTAGAGTGGGTTACATTCGCTCTTCCACATTTTGCCACGCTACAATCAGAAATATAAATGTTTTCAATTGAAATGATTTGTAAAAACTTAAAGCGAGAGGGACAAACAATATATGAAATTAAATGTGTTCATACTTTTGAACTTGTTTATACATACACAACTGAAGAATGGGGTGTGCAAAAGTATCTAGTCGATGCTTTGTTGAACTGCCTTTTGCTGCAGTTACAGCTGCAAGTCTGTTGGGGTCTGTCTCTTCCAGCCTTGCACATCTTGGGACTGGGATTTTTGCCTATTATCCTTTGCAAAACTGCTGGTAAATACTTTTGCACACTCCATATTTGAGTTTTTAATCATAATAAACGTTAAAACCATTTAATTTCACTGTGTTTTCTTAGTGTGGGTCTTTCACATGAAATTTCAATTCAATATATTTTTGTTCCTAGGGGTGTGGATACTCATGCCACCCACTGTACTTTGGCAAAAGTTATTTAGAACCACAGTTATAGAACAGTATTCTGTGTCTAGACTCCCTGTTGTGTTTGTGTTACGGGCATTTCTCATCTTGGTCCCTTTGGTCAGACAATCTTTAAACATTTTCCTCTTTGCTACATTGCTTAAATATGATATCACTCTTACATCTATTTCATGGCAGTGGGATCTTGGACACCTTTTTTAACCAAAATAGCATTGGCTTAAGTATTTTTCATGTATGTATATATTTGAAAAAATGTGAATGCTCGTCTGTTTTTCTATGGACTGAAACTATTTCAGGCATTTGTAAAATTGTAATAATCATAGATATTGATATGGCTTTTTAACATATAAACACTTCCCTTTTGAAATCAGGAGTCCACTTACATTCTTACAAAGGGCTCCTATTTTGTGCCCGCCATGTGCTCTAGGATATCCCATATTACACAACATTCCAGCAGCTGCCTCAGATCTAATGGTTACCTTATGGTCATCGGGACAAAGCCAGCTGAGCTTCCAGAGCCGGGCGGATGGACAGACTCGTAGACTGCCACACTAGCACTTTTACAGCCTTCACACAGTCCACATCACCCTAGAGAGGTATCACTATAGTCTGGGAATCAAACTATTCAGCATTAGTTTCTCTGATTGGTTAACCGGCCTGTCAATCACACCCCTATCTGTCGAAACACAAGGGATTGAGACAAGAACCCAGACATTTTTGTATTGGATTATCCCAGAATACATGGGTGTAAATTGGAGGCACTCTGCTTCTTCAGATAAGATAAACTTTATTGATCTCACAATGGAGAAATTTACATTCTTCACATTTCTTCTTCATGGTCTCATATTTAAAGGTGCACTTATCTGAGGAGGGCATTCATGTGTGCATTGTAGATGATCTGGCGTTGTCTATAACATGTATGTGACAAGGGGCCTTTCTGAGTATAGAGCTTGGGTGTTCTCCCTTTGTCTGTGTAGGTTCCCTGTGTACCACTAAACATGTGCAATGGGACTATAGATGTCCCAATTCTGGTATATTTACAATAGGTGTTCATTCGTATACACATTGTAAAATAAGTAAATCTGATTTTTGAACTCTGTCTGAACGCACTATCTATTCCCTTCCATCTTATCCATAGCCACATAGTGGAGGCTGCAGACTTCCTCCAACTCATACTGGAGGAGTTCCCAGGCCAGGCGTAACTGGCCAGTGTGTCTTCCCGGTTGGAGGTTACAGATCCACTTTACCTGACGTATATTGGTCAATCCAACCCATGTAAATTGCGTTGCTCAGACTACTCCTTTTTCTAGTTTTCCTTACAGTATTTTCAATTAGGGGAATTAATGGGTATGTACATGTCTTACATATTTAAAAATAATAATAATTATTCAATTGAGCTTGGCAAGGTGGCATCTGCTTGCCCCCAGTGGGTCGGACACAGCCTTAACATCATATGGAAAGAATCAGAGAATGGTTAACTATGATTATTATGATTATTATTTAGCAACCATTTAAAGAAGCTATACCCAATTTTTTTTAAGGAGTTCATAAAAATGCTTATCACTACATACAAGTTGTATTATAATCCGTAATTTAATTGAAAACTTGAGCTCATTGATTCAGCTCAATCAGACACAACAGTGAGGAAGAGAAGAGGGAACTAAAGCAAAAAAATGATCAAAGAAGAAAACAAGCCCGGGTGAACATAGCTAGCTTACATCGTATCCTCTGGAGAGACTTGTCTGTGGGAGAGACCTGCGGGACCGCCTCGGACTATCTATGCTCGGACTACATTCGGACGTGGAACTAGCGATAATCTTTCAGTTTTATATTTGTTAGCAGTGCGTTGCTTTTGTACCATTTCATCAGTGATTTTAGTAAAGCTTACAAGAAGTTGTGCTCATGCTAATGTTTGCATATACAGTACATCGCAAATAAAACTAGATGACTCCGTGGGATGAGAGTGTAGGGGAAATGAGAAGCTTGTGTAACCCGAGTTGGGGGTGGTGCTAAACATTCAAACATTGCAGAAACGGGTATAGCTCCTTTAAGGTGAAAATAAAACTTCCTCTTGGTTTGGCGAGAATGTGCTGGCCTAAATTTGGCCTGTGTAAACAGGAGATGTGAGGAGTTGTGTCATGCATGGCCCTGCCCCAGGAGGCAGTGGTAGCAACACAAACAGAGAAGTGCCCTGTGTGCTTTAGTGTGCTGTTAGCTTTTAATGGTGAAGTGAAGATGGGTCCTGTGAGCTCAGCGATGATGTCATCTCTGTAGCGGGCAGAGCTGCACGTATGCATCTCCAACATTATACCACTGTCCTCACTGCTCACAAACACTTTTGTTTATATGCGCTTATCTGGCTGTGCGGCAACATTTGGGTTAGTCATCTCCCTTTGCTTTAAGCTATAGCAGAGACGTTCAACAGGAAGTGACACCAGCGAATGTTGAGTAAACTGTATTGCAAGTGTAGTGTAGTGCATATACACTTGTAACCATTTTTATCTTCATCTAAAGCCATACAATTTACTGAAGGTAACAATGTAACATGATGATGGACAGCCTATAGGCCGATGTCTATTTAAGAATGCTTCACTTGCTTACTTTGCTATGGTATAAGCAAGCAAAATAAAAACAACCTGCAAAACTTAAAGATGGAATACCTACCTTTTGTATTTGATAAACAATAATCAAAACTATGATTGTGGACGTTTCAATGGCCCTGTTTAACCGGTTCCGTGTACTTTTTTAGTACTAGCTAGTGATGGAAGATACTGGTTTGCTGTGGGTAGGTTGCTAAGACACTGCAGATACTAAAGCGTAATGGAAATGCAACCGAGTAGAGTAGAGTAGAGTAGAGTAGAGTAGAGTAGAGTAGAGTAGAGTAGAGTAGAGTAGAGTAGAGTAGAGTAGAGTAGAGTAGAGTAGAGTAGGGTCAAGTTGGGCTGGTGGAAACAGGGATTTTGAAAGGTCATAAGCAAAGACAGATCAGCTGCAATGAACACATGAGGCCCTCCCTTACAAATGCATACACATAATAATAAATAAAAAAATATGAAAAGTCAAAATATACAGTCCTAAATCACATGGTCCTTTTTCTTCCATATTATCTCACATTATAGCGTACGCCAGCAGCACTGTATATGCAAATGAGCGCACTTTGATTGAACTCACACCACATTCTTACCTGCAAAACTTTTCCCTCCTCCCATCTGACCTCCTGCATGTGGCTTCCTCTCTCTCTCATCCCTCTCTGTGCTCTGCGGGCCGGCGGGCATCCCTTTAGTATTGGATGCTGGTGATGCGTTCCTTTATTTGTTCCCGTCTTATGTAACTAAATATAGCCCTTTTCTGAGTCACGCGTGGCCATAGGTCGCGCTCTGATGTGACGGCTTACATTAGTGATCCCCCCTCAGGCCTCGCGCCCTCTTGGAGTCGCTGTGTGAGATCGACTGGGTGATTTCAGGGCCTGACTTCCCTCCGCATGAGTGAACGGCGGCACGTGTCGGTCTGCGCCCCACAACCATCTGCCTCATCTGCTGCATCTTCACCCTGGTTCTATAGATATGTGTGTCAGCACAAGTGGCACGCACGTGTAAAGAATATTCCCATATGGGGGGATTTCTGATGTGCTTTGTGATGTTTGACACATTTTTTATATTTTATACCCAGAAAACTACATTATTCCCTCTGCTACCGTCGGCCTCTACCCTAAATGGAGATCTATTCTTGGGTTGCAATTTTTTTTTGCTATTATTTTTTTTGGACAAATGTTGCAATTAGATTTGCCATTGGTGTTTTTAAAATAGGAATATTATTTATTGGTCACTGCCAAAACACTATCCAGATAATTTTAACTGAGATATGTTTTCTTTAAAGTATATTTGACTTTAAACAAAAGCAAAATGATCTTAAATATAAGTTATTACTATTACCATTAGTACTAGTTCAATAGAAAAAATAGAAAAACCGTGGTCCAGTTTTGGTCCAACAGAGCTGAACTAATTTTTGTTCAGAAAAATATACCATGCAAGAATGTTTAATACATTTGATTTTTATGGGGATGAGACATTTTTGTGTGTGAAGGAATTTCTATAGATTTGATAAATGTGGTCTAAAAAAATGTATTCAATAGTGAGTAATCCTCACACTGTTGACTAATTTGGCTGGTCATTTCCCATTTCACGTGTATCTCCCGATGAACACTGACGCTTGTTTTTGTTATTTGAAAAATGCCCCTAAAAAGCAGCTGTCAGTTATCATTGTGTGAAGTGTTTCTCTGGAGGGGGCGGCGTGACAGAGGTGCTGACAGGTATGAGCTGGGAGGGCTGCGTGGTCTGGTTTTCGGCACCAATTTACTCACATACATGTTTTGAACTTATTTTCAATGACTGCTTTCATGCTCTCAACCTGCTGTGCATGTTGTACAAACTCAACTCCTGTGTGTGACAAGGAAAAACAGAACACTGACATTTTGAACAAGGAGGAAGGCGTTATGAACTATTACGAGCTTTGTGTGTAGACAGTATGAATGAGATGTGTGACGTTAAAGCTGCGGTACCGGATTTTTGAATAGGTCCCATCGATATGTTTTGTTTGTTCTAACTGAGCGAGTCTTCAGAGTAAAATGTGGCGAACAAATCAGACCAGAACATGCAAGAACGCATCTTCATCTTACTATAAATCATGTATATTTTGCATACTTGTAGAATCCTGTGAGTTACTATTTGACTCTTTGGGCTGAGAGCTGATTGGCCGAATGACAGTCTTCTCTTTTTCACTTTTCTGGCTGAAAAAGCTGATCTAAAGACGTTACAGAGGCCACACATACATGCATGTGAAAACCACTGATAGAACAAAATTGTCCCTTGGTTTTGTGGGTTGAAAGTTAGATATTCCAGCTTTAAGCTTTTTCTTGCTCTTCTGTGAGTATGTTTTAGCAAAAATATTTAAACAGGCCAAGCAAAAGGTCAATGTCGCTTTGAATAAATCTCTGCCACTCTGAAGTGAAGAACCTTTACTAACCTTCATTACATGTGATTATTCACACAGATTAGCATAAATTAGACGATTTAAAAATGTTAAGCCCCCTGGAAGATTGGCTATAGCCCTAACCATATCTTTTTCATTTAGCTTTAGTAGATTTGAGTACTTATTTCAGTCACACATGTGCAGTAAAACCTTGTGATTTGATGTACAGTCTGAAAGTCTAATCTGAAAGCTTCACATATGCTGCCTTACGTCAACAGAACACTGCTCTTCTAGCTATGGGCCACCTCTTTTTCTTGCGATGTTATTCCCTTTTTAAAGATAACAAGAAAAAGTTGCCCGAGTGATATCCTGGGGTATTTATATACACCAGGTCACAGTCTGGTCCTTGCCCTCCAGGTCAAATAGAGCCGTGCTTTCAGAATGGTTTATTACTGTGACTACATATATATAAATAAAATAAGAGATTGCTCATCTGCCATTTGGAATCAACATCAAATAAACAGGCTTGTGTGCTTCACTTACTATTCTTGCTGTTTTTTCAGTCCAATATATACGTTTTCTTTATTGTGATGAGAAAAGCGCATTACAAAGATGATCCATATTCTTTTCATATATAAAAAAGATTGAGAATAATCTTGTATAGCCCTGGTGAGATTTATTTTTCTTTAATAATGTCACGTTCTAAAAAGGAGGAAGGACCCAAATTGCAGGAATGCCAAAATATAAGATTTAATAAACAAAAACAAAATCCAGGATACAGAACTTAAAACTCAAACCAGGACGAAACAGGGACAAAAACACAACGGACCAACAACAAGGGGAGAGGAGCGAAAAGCACAGGGTTTAAACACACACAGGGAGAGGTGAAACACATTAGGGCGGGACAGGCAATTAACAGATCAGACATGAGCACCAATATATCAAAATAAAACCAGGAAAATTAATCAAAAAGTCCACACCATAACAAATAATCTGGGTGCATTTTAAGCATTGTGATATTTTATTTATTTATTTGTTTTAAAATCTGAAGTCCAGATCACCTAAACTGTACTTTGACTTGGGCACAGACGCTTTTATCTTCATATATCGAGACACTCACTGTATGGTTGTGGCCATCATTGCCCGGGTCATTCCCTCTTCCCTTCACAAACAAACAAACTCTCAGATAAAAGACATTCTCACAATTGACTCATATCTCTTTTTTTTTTCCAAATGCTGGCCTCACCCATGCGATTCCTGTTAGCTTAAACTCTGCACTGGCCTGGTGCACTGGTGCTGACCATGATAAATGTTCACTAAAGCAGTGGCTTAGAAGAAGAGTCGTGATATGCTTTCTGCTCATCTTTGTGACATAAAACATACAATATGAGGTGTTTGTACTTCTGGCAATTTGACTCATGGCTTTGTCTGTTACAAATGAAAATGCATCATGCTTTTTTCAAGTTGCCCATTTCTTAACATTTTGATGCGGCTTCTCGTATTGCTTCACATAATTCTATGGGAGCTGATAAGACTAAAATTAGTTGAATTTGGTCTATTCGAAGCGTCATTTGTACGATAATATGAGCAGAAGAAATACAGTATTTAGAAAAATGGTTATGCACGGTCTTCCACTTATAAGTTTGCAAGAGCTTAAAGCAACTTAAAGTGTTTTCAATGGTCGACAACTATTTTAGAAATGTATACACAGACCCCAACGTATGCAAGGATTGTGGACAGTGATTAAAGACTGAAAAAACAGAGTTGGATTTACATAGAAAATAATCAGAGATTGTGTAAATGTCAAATTCTTTAAGACAGAAAATGAGCAGTAATAGTTACATTCATCATATTACATATAATTATACACATGCATAGATATACACATACATATACATAACCAATAATAAACAGCCTTCACCATACGTCGAAATATTCACAAAACATTTTCACTTATTTTTCAACTCATAAGCTTGAAATGTTTTTGTTTTTGTTTTTTAACCTTTATTTAACCAGGAAAAATCCCATTGAGATTAAGAACCTCTTTTTCAAGGGAGTCCTGGCCAAGAGGCAGCAAAGTTACACATAAACACAACAGACAGATACAAATACATTAAAAATGACAGGTGCACAGACTACACACATCAAGTAAAACATTTACTGTTGTGTGTGACTCCCGCCCCTCGGCTTACTCAAATGTACACAAAATATAAAACTGGTATTTTAAACTAAAAATCAATTAATCTAAAGAATAATCTTTATCTTAATCCATGGTCTGAATAATTACAGCCACAGTGATACTTTTTGTTTGTGTTTAGAAGGCTTTTGTGGGATTGCCATAAAATCACCACTATCTACAAAGCCCAGTCCCTACACCACATTTACACAATCTCTGGTTAGTATGTTTGTAAATCCAACTCTGTTTTTTCAGTCTTTAATCACTGTCCATAATCCTTGCATACGTTGGGGTCTGTGTATACATTTCTAAAATAGTTGTCGATCATTGAAAATACTTGATTAGTCGCTTCAAGCTCTTGCAATCTTGGAAGTGGAAGATCGTGCATAACCGTTTCTCTAAATACTGTATTTCTTTGCTAATATTATTGTATAAATGATGCTTCCCAAAGACAAATTTTAGTCTTACCACCACCAGGAAACATTGCTGCCATAGAATAATAAGAAGCAAAACGAGAAGCAGCAACAAAATATTGAGAAATGGGCAACTTAAAAAAAAAAAAAAGCATGCATTTTCATTTGTAACAGACAAAGCCATGAGTCAAATTTCCAGAAGTACAAACACCTCATATTGTTTTTTGAAGTAAATAATTGTAACAGTGCCCTTATTGAAAATGTGGTCACAATAACCCAAAAACAACCTCACAACATCACTTTCCGATCCCTCATTTTCAAAACACTGCCACAGTTGAATTGCCAGTGGATATAATATGTGTAATACGCAGCAGTGAAAGTCCACATGACGAGCACATGGCCCCAGACTTGTTATCCTCCTGACACACTGAAGACATTAAAAGTTGGAGGAAGTGTGTGCGAAGGAGGGAGGAGGGGGGAGGTCTGCAGAAAGGGAACTGGATCGACTGACTCAGGAGAAAAGGGGAAGTCTCCAAAAAAAAAAAAAAACAGAGGGATTGAACCAAGAGACAGTGGTTGCATGTGGAGGCAGTCGCTGAGGTATGGAGCGAGACAGGATCGCCGGTAAGTGAGGCAAAAGCCCGTGTTTCTTGCTTTAGTTTAGTTTTTTTATCAAGCTTAAACCACTTCCCTCTTTTTCTACAAGAGCGATGTCAGG